TTATATTCAAGCATGTGTTATTTGTTGAAGTGAGGATGGGTACCTTTAAATCGGTCTTACTCTCTTCCTTCTTTTACGCGTTAGTCCCCGGTTTTAGCCTTTTAGCTGACTGGTGAGATTGGACGAGACAGTCGACGTGCCGTCTGGCAATGGCCACGATATGCTTCCTGTTAAACATCGGATTAACCGAAACCAAGAAGATGCCTGAAAGTGTTTGCCGCAGTACGTCACGGAGTTTATGTTTTACTAACAAACAGTCTAATCAAGTATTTAAGAGCTCCTACGGGTAATGAGGGGTCTACTTCAATTCTAAGAAAAAGGGTAACTAAGGCATGTTCATCACAACAACGGAAATCAACCACAGGATGAACACAGCACGGAGAAGTAGAATAATCATAAATTGAGTCTATTTTATGATAGTCAATAGTAATTATATAATCGGTTTGAAAGAAACTCGGGGACAACTGGACAAATCGTGTGGGTGCCAGGGCCAAAAAACAATCAAATTCATCTTAAACATAGATATTACTACTTGAAAGCGTAACGGCCTCTTGTTAATTATCCCAGGCGCCAAAAATGGAGGTAAATTCAAATACCACTCAACTATTAAACGGAGGATATAAAAAATGAAGAACCCTCAAAGCCGACTACTAACTCTTATTCGCCCACAAAGATCGGTTTCATTCGCACACTATTACTGGCAGATAAGTGTTTTACCATCAGTTCAATTAACTTTGAATTTGTTAACGCTAGTTCTACACTAACTTTAGTTTTTTAACGCTTAGTACGAAGGCGGTGAGAGGCTAAATGGTTCGAACCCGCGTTACTAAGGAAGCAGCTCCCAACCCTTCAAAATAATACGCAATATATACAACTACGCAATAGTAAACCTAATTCAATGAGGTAGGACCTGATTGTTTCCGAATAGGAATAGCAACGTTAAGTAGACTTCGAAAGTATGGATTAAGCTATTATTGAAAAAGAGTCACACATCAGTGTAATTAGTTCCGGCTTAAGGGTGTTCATTGACCGGAAAATCGGAAAATGTCGGCCGTTCAGTGAAAGTATTACTTACTGTAGCTTAGGAAAACCTAATGCAGTAGACTTGTGCGTATTAGAGGTTAATACTCGGGAGGGAAACTTGGCAGTTTGTAAATATAGCAACGAAACCCCTAATGCTGGCCTGTTCCATCCATTTGATGAAAGAAAGTCGAAGCTACTTTAATTGGACACACACGAATAAATAATACTTTTGAGGTGAGGCCGAGCGCTTTTTCATGGGCACAGAAAGGAAAACACCCCAATTCCCACGGGTACTCCTTTGATTAAGAAACGTTACCTAACTCGT